TCACATGCTTTACAAATGAATCGCTTGTCTCATGAGCACACCTCTGGTCCCCAGTACCACAGGGCCTCAGTAACTTACTGAGAGACAGGCTTGGCCAACTTCATACACAAAGTCCATAGCAGAAGATGACAATGGGCTTACTTCTACTATGTCCCAAACCACCATCCTAATCTCAGGACTATGCTCCCTTGCCTTGCCTTTACCTCCTTTGCTTACCTACTCTGAAATCTGCCTGCCTAGATGCTCAGTGATGTGGGGCTAGGACAAAATGGGTCATTTTTACCAGAGACCTACACCGTACTAGTTGAAAGGCATCATATTTCAAGTTGCAGCAAGGGAAGTTTAGGTTAGATCTTAAGAAAAAAATATTTCTCAGTAGGAGGGTAGTTAAGCACTGAAACAGGTTACCCAGAGGTGGGTCACTCTCCATCCTTGGGGTTTTTTAAGGCCCGACTAGGTAAAGCCTTGACTGGGATGATGTAGTTGGGGCTGGTCCTGCTTTGAGCAGGAGGTTGGACTAGATGTGACCTCCTGAGGTCCCTTTAACCCTCATTTTCTATGATCCTGTTCTTAAATCAACTTTTCAAGAGGGGTGCAGGTGACATTTGCAACAGTGGCTTCTAAAGTCTCGACAGGTCTAGAAGGACAAGAATAAAACCATACAGGTAGCTGTTAAATGCCATTAGATAAGGAAGGGCACAGTGCGAGAGCAAAAAGCTTGTTGCACAACTCTCTCAACTATAGAGTTGGCCCAATGAAAGATATTGCCAGGAAAAGCCTTGTTTCTCACGTTTCTTGGATCGAAGCTGCAACACTGACCCAACCCTATTAGATGAGAAGAAAATGTTGAAAACCAAGACAAGGGAAGTACTACAAATGAAGGTTCAATTACTGTTTTTATGCAAATATAAGACAACACCCCAATAATTGGATTCTATATGTAGAAAATTTATAAATTTGTTATAGTTTTCCAGGTACAGCATCTAATTATTGGAGGTTTGCCTTGAATTTGTCCCCCTCTCCCTGCTACAGTAGGGAAAATAAATGTCTGGGGATGGTGGGGGGGAGGAGGGAAGATAGGTAGCCCCTTGGTTCTCTATTTACCCCCAACATTTTCCTTTAGGAGCCCATTTCCCCTGTCCATATTATCAGACCCTGTGCTCCCTGAGTATATGGAAGTGAGGAGCACATTAGAAAACAAAAACCTTGACGTTAAACATGGCTGTAGCAATTTACATATAGTACCCATGCACTTAGTGCATCCGGAATTGATGCATACTGCCTGATTTTGAAATGGTTGCAGGTTTTAGCACAGATACCTCCATAAATACATTTTTAAGATGCAGAAAGAAGTGGCCATTTTTGCCTGATCTGGCCACAGAAAGCAGCTTATAGCTGTGACCAAACACAAGTGTACAGCAGCAAACAGCTTCCAAATGGCTGACTGGGTGAAAATCTAACCACTCATTGCATGAGGTATCAGAGGAAGATGTTACAAAATGTAGTGTCTTTTGTAATTTGTGTCTGAGAAGCTCCCAGCCTCCCACTGTTTTCAGACTGGGAGGGGGGAAAGGGAGCAGAGGGAGTTCTGTCTGGGGGGGTTTCAGCTCCCCCAGGAGGGTGGGGCTGATGTAATGTAGCCCCTGCAAGGTGGAGGGGGCGATCCAATTCACCCACATCACCCTTCATCATCAGCTGGGGAGCCCCAAGAAAGAGCTTCCTCGGCTGCCTTTCCCCTCTCCCATTCTGAAAACAGCAAGTGCTGGCAGAGAGCCCTGGCCCTTTCTATGGGACCTTGGCTGCTGGTCTTACGTCTGCTGCTAGATTTCCCTTCCCCCTAGAACCAGCAGAGAACTTCTGGTTGCTTTGGGCTAACGTTGTAACTCAGAATGCTTTGCAAAAACCGTTCCCATTTACAGCTGGGAGCTACACTTCTACCTGCACCTTTAAGCAGCATGTTTGTACCTACTTATAGAGAGTGTAAACCATGCAAGATATTAGTTCAAAGCCAAAGGCTTGTGATTTACCACGCAGTTCACTGGGCTGGGCCCCACCAGAGTCGACAGCATGTCAAGCCATGGTTATCCCATAGCTCATCACTGCTCAGTATGTGTTTCCAGATACTCCCCACAAAGGATACAGGTGCTAGTTAGCTCCCCGACTCATGACTAGACCTGAGTGTACTTGTCAAGTCCTGGGATGCTCGAAAATTTTATATGCAGATAAGACACAAGGCAACCTGGCCCAGCTCCACCTCATGGAGGGCAGGGCCACAATAATCATATGCACCACGCTGAGAGAGAAGGGCAACAAAGGGATTCTGGGTGAACGGTTTGGGGCCCTATTTTGTGATGCTCGCCAGGCATTAAAGGTTACTATTAAGAAACAGGGATAATTGGAAATGGGAAAGAAAGACTCAGCTCAACTGTGGGAATGAAGATGTCAAAATTCATGCAATGTTGTGGCTCACCTTGACCTGGAAAAAACAGTTGGCAGTGAGGAAGACTGTACTTAATGGGCACTACCATATGTCTTATTTAGATGTGCTGCATTAATCTGTCCTTGTGATAGGTCCCCATTAGCATTTTTGCCTGATTCAGGATGTGCTTTGCAGTCATGTTCAGTGCTGACTCCATTCAATCAACTTCGTAATTGGTTTCTGTTGCTGAACACATGCTGCTTTTGCCAGCAGTTTGATGATAGACACTGTAGTTAGTGAGACTCCCTTGTATGTGGTAATAAGATGAGGGTTTTTTTTTTCTTTCTGCCAAGCAGGGGGAGGGAGGGACCTCATTATGTATTTGTGTAAGTACAGCACCATCACGAGAAACAGACAGTAAGGACATGGGATCAAGGTAACCACACACGGTAACCAAGCTAACCATAAAAATCTGGTTAGTTTTGAAATTAGTTTGAGGTCCAACACCTGCCCCTGAGTCCCTGTGGTTTAACTTTCAGATTTTCATGTTTTCTATAAATGCCTACTGTCTTCAGCTGTTGCATGGAAAATCCCAGCAAACAAAAAGAAAGAACAAATGCACAGGAGAAGCCATGAGACTGATAATATGCAAAAGACTATGTGATGCCCACAAAAACAAAACAAAAAACTCCAGAAATGTTACCCCCTTCTTCCCCCCACTATTTCAACAGCATAAATCTCAGATGTAACATGTAGCAAAGGAAACTCAAATGCTGATAGACAGGTGATATTTTTTTCTAAGCTAGCTCTTTCCTTTTAACACACACACCTATGCACATATGTGCACATGCACACACACATACACACCCTGCTTCCATCACACAGAGTTAGCAATGTACCAAGCCTGAAAGTCAGCTCTGTCCTCTCTGCAGTTTGCTGTGGTGCTCCCTATTTCTTTCCTCACCTCTCTGTGTGAAGAATTACTTGAGCCATCACATTTTTTTAAAGAAAGCTCAGATAGGTTTAAAATATTTTGCTAGGCATCCAGAACCTCAAAGTCATGGGCTTCTAGAAATTAAAAAAAAATACATAAGCATATTAATATGATGATGCCATGACTCGCGAATTTTTTTTCTGAGGGGAGCCATGAACTCGTTTTCCTCTTCTGGGCTTAACGGTGCCTTCTGTTGGGTCAGTTAAAATACCAACTTCTGTTTGTATGGGAAGTCTTTCCCTTCTCCTTATTTATAGCAAATCTGCATTTCACACCCACCCTCCTTCACCCAATCTTATTGCTGTTTTAAATCACTGTGAATTAACGTTGATGTTGCATTCTTGAAATAACACAGTGGCATTGCACCTTGATAATAAACCCTTTCAGCCAAACATTGAGAACTTCAAATAGAAAGATAATATTACAAATAAAGCTGTTACAAATAACAAATATTTATTTGTAATAAGCTGTTACAAATATTACAAATAAAGCTGTTGCAAGAGGCCAAGAAACTCCTACAGACTTGGCCTGATGCTATACTGTCTCAATGACCGCCCTCCCAGAAATAGACACTAATTCATTGCCCTACTGAAAAGTATAATATGTTGGGCAATAAGGAGTGCACAGAGGTTATGGCTCTCATAAAATAATCACACCACTACTCCTTATGCAGCAGATCCTCCCGAGTAGGATTAATCACAAGTTATTATTAAGAGTGCCCACTGTGTGGGAGTTTATGTTTCAGTACCATTGGCAGATTAGATTACAGAAAATTAGTTTCAGATGAACTATTCAGTTCAGGTAGATTAATTCACAGTGCTGATGCTTACCAGCCGATGGAGCTCTCCTTTCCGACTCTCTCTCTAGCGATTCTAGGCCCTTACCGAAAGCCATAAACAATAGGGCAGATTTTGTCTTCACCTAGCAGCAATTATTCTGTATATAGTCTCTCCTGCAACCTTATTGGAGAATGATGTTTAATCCAGGTCTGGATTAAACTATCAATGCTAAAATGCCAGAGGCCCCAGGATCTTCACTCATGTGATTACATCTGGGTCCTGGATTTAAGACAGAGTATGATGCGTTTCCAATCCTCAGGGCCACAAAGACAAGCTTAGAAGCAGTGATGTTGTCTTGTCAGCAGAGACCCTAAATGTCTGCAAACCCTACGTCAAGTGTTCAGAGGAGCAAGAGAAGTATGCCAGATGTCTCTGCTTCAGGACACCACAGAGGAAGTCTGTGTTTCCGAGAAATGCTGAGCAAGTCTAGCCCACCCAGAGGTAGCAGCGGTCCCCCCATTGCTATTTCTCCTTCTAGAGGTTGGCAGAAAAAGGTGAATCCACAGGGACTACTTCTAGACCCGAGACAAGGTCCTTAAAGTCATTTCCATGCCAGGTAGGAGAGAGAGCAGGTTCCATGTCACGACTGCTTCAAACCCATACTGATAAAACCATTATCCTATGATAACTGCCCAGCAACCTATGTGGCCTTGTAGGGCACAGGTAGCAAGGCAGCTGCCCTGCCTCAGCAGGTCCCGAGTGAGTTAACCCTCGAGGAGAAAACGGAGAGCTTTCATGCCAGGCTTACCTCTTACAATGATGTTGGTGGACTTTTTTGCGGGGTTGCCCACATTATTATTGGCGATGCAGCTATAGGTGCCAGCGTCTTCTGAAGTGACGGCAGGTATTGTTAAGGTCCCACCGTTCAGGACAATTTTCTCAGGCAAGACCCCGATGGATCTCACCCAGGTGAGGCTGGGAGCCGGTTCTCCTCCCGTCGTCACGCAGACTAACGTAATGGCCTCCCCCGGGTTCACCACAATAGGGTCATCCACCAGGAGCTTGATCGATGGAGAGGCTGGAAAACAGGTGGACAAGAAACGGATTGCACATGAGGGGAGATGGCATTGCTCACTCCACGAGATACCTAAAATTCAGGCTGCCAAGCCTTTTCCATGATTACAGCCTACTTTCAGTAGCTCAACACTGCCAAACTGAGGGCTGACTAGTATTCATGTTGAGTTTGTTTTTTTATGGTTGACTCTCAAAGGAGTGGCTGTGATGGACAATTTGAAAAGGTTTCCCCACCTTCCAAAACTCCCCTCCCATGCCATTGGTGCAATCTGGGTCTCCAAGACAAGGCATACTCCCCTCTCAGCTCAATAAGACACCTTGTTAACCTTCCCCGTGTGACCAGCCATGGGAAAAAGCTGCTAATCAACCGAGGTGAGAGCCCACGAGTTAAAACGAGGCTGGATCTGTGTCTTGCTGTTCACTCTAGCCATGTCTGTCAAAAGCAAGTCTTGCAGAGAATGGCATGAGTTATTGACAGTGGGCCAAGGAATGGGGGGTCCACACAGGGGAAAAGTCCTATATGCTGGACAACCTCAGCAAGAGCTACAGTAAGTCTGGACTTCAAAGAAACACCTGCAGTTGCTAGACTAGACAGACAGAGAACAGCACTTCAGCTCAAACAGAGAGCTTTTTCAGTAAGTCAGAGCTTGAATCTGGCCACTGTGATTTCACTTCTTTTGTTCTCCAATGCCATTCAGAGACAGAGCTGAAACAACTCACAGTATACCTGAGACATAATCTGGGGCTTCTGGCTTCTCCCTTAACTCAGAGAATCCCAGAAAATGAGGGCTGGAAGAGACCTCAGGAGTCACATCTAGTCCAACCCCTGCTCCAAGCAGGACCAGCCCCAACTACATCATCCCAGGCAAGGCTTTGTCAAGCCAGGCCTTAAAAGCCTCCAAGGGTGGTCATTAGAAAAACTCTCTGGGTAACCCATTCCAGTGCTTTACTACCCTCCTTGAGAGAAGATTTTTCCTAATATCTAACCTCAACTTCCTTGCTTGAGCCTGAGCCCATTGCTCCTTGTCCTGTCATCTGTCCCCACTGAGAACAGCCCAGCTCCATCCTCTTTGCAACCCCCCGGCCGGGTGGTGAAGGCTGCTATCAAATCCCCCCTCGGTCTTCTCTTTTGCAGACTAAATCAGCCCAGTTCCCTCAGCCTCTCCTCACCAGTCCTGCTTCCCAGCCCTCAAACCATTTCCACTGCCCTCCACTGGACTCTCTCCAGCTTGTCCACATCCTTTCTGTAGTGGGGGGCCCAAAACTGAACACAGGACTCCAGATGTGATCTCCCCAGTGCTGAAAAGAGGGAAGAATCACCTCCCCTGTATTCAGCAATGCTCCTACTGATGCAGCCCAGGATGCTATTACCCTTCTCGACAACAAGGGCCCACTGCTGGTTCATGTTCAGCTTTTTGCCCACTGTCACCCCAGGTCCTTTTCTGCAGAGCTGCTGCCCACCGTCACCCCCAGCCTGCATCAGTGCATGGGATTGCTCCATCTGAAGGGCAGAAACAACCCCACTGTCTCCCCTTGTCAATGAAAGGACCATCTATGACTGTTCTCAACCAGGGGATAAACTTTGCTAGGTGCAGAGACCCTACCTGCTACAGTTATCCTTGTCTATAAACTGGAACGGAAACATTAGATGCCTCCCAGTCACAGGGGAACTCCATGCCCAGAGCAACCCAATATTTCCCTTCCTAGCAGAAGCCCAGTGCTCTGGCTTTCTTTTACCCCAAGGGCCACACACTGCACCCATTGTCCCTGCTGCTTCCCCAAAGGGTGCAGGCTGAAGCCCTCTTCCAGGACGAGCAGGCACAGGGGAAGGCACCTGAAGGCAAAGCTTCCTTTCCACTGAGCTAGACACGCATACCTAACAAATATCACACGTAATTAGGCTTTGGAGCAAACTGCCTTCAGGAGTTACTGAGGCCACAAACCAGACAAGATTAAAAACAGGTTGGACATTTATAGAGATGACAGGAATCTATGTAGATAGATATCATCATTAGGACGAGTATCATATGAACAAGAAGGGGCAAAATCAGGGAGGTCAAGGCACAAACTGAGATGCAGCCAGCAAGAGACAACAAAAAAAAAACCCTTCTGATAATGAATGAAGTAAGATGAAAACCAAGGAAGGTTCAGGTCCCTTATTGAATAGGAGGGGAAGCTCATAAGAACAGCTGCTGTACATGTAACATGGGGATAAGTAGCCACCAACATGTACTTGTCAAGAGCAGCTTGTGCACAAATAAACCGGTTTCTTTCTACAGAGGGGTGATGGGCTTTTCCCGTCCCCGCAAGATATTTCTAAGATTGCGGGAATTACACATTCCTTACAGGAGACAACTTCCACAGGTCCCAAACAAGACCGCTATTTGAAACCTCCTACGTCCAGCCTTACACACCACATCTGATGAATGACACAGACAAATGAGTGTCTAGAGGAAAGCACCAAAAATTATTAGAGAACTATATAAAGACAGGGTGGAAGACATGGGATTATTTAGTCTAGGGAAGAAAAGACTGAGGGGGATTTAACAAGTCTCCAAGTACCAAAAAGGGTACTGGATTACTGGAAGGTAATCCTTTCTCTGAATCTACAGAGGCAGGGCAAAAGGAATGGGTTAAAATTGCAACAAGGGAGATGCAGATTGGATGTTAGGAAGCACCTTCTCACTGCGAGTTTGATTAAACACTGGACCAGGCTGCTTAGCGAGACTGGGAAATCTTCACTTTTGGAGCTTTCCAAGAGCAAGTTAAGTTAAACACGTGGATGAGATGGTTCAGACAGGGGTGGTCTTGCCCTGAGCAGGAGGCAGCTGGACAAACCCATTTATCTGTTTATTAATTTTCTTAACATTTATATCCCTCCCTCTCCAAAAAGGTCAGAGTGGCTTGTTGACCCCTGAAGTGCCTTTCAGTCTTGTATTTCTGGGCATCTAAACTTAGTGATGGTCATTATATTGCACAAGGGACAAGACTGTGCAAAGGAGTGCATTATCCCTTGCCTGTCCACTGAAGGAACCCTTTGCTTTCCACTGAGGAGCCTGGTATCAGCACTGTCACAAACACACCTCCAAACTGATCCAGATCAGTGCACATGTTCCTACATGCCGTGTGTTTGTACAGCATCTAGCACCACAGGTCTCCAGCTGAGCCTGAGGCCGCAAGATGCAGCTGCACTCCCAATCACAACACGTGCTCTGGGACAGAAAACAGGCTAAAGAGAGATCTTTAGCATGTGTCCACAAAAGCTGGAGACTTGTCTTCAAGGTCTGTTGTTATAATTCATATTTGAAATAATAAACACTTTCCCATTACTGGTCTGAAGCAAACCGTGCATCAGTATTCAAATATTAGATGTACCCCCCAGCATGCACACACAAGATGTTTCTAGGCTTGCAGGAATTATGCATTCCTTATTCCTTACAAGAGACAACTTCCACAGGCCCCATCTGAGACCACTATTTGAAAAGCGGCATATCCCACTGACAGCATTATGCCTCCAATACAGATCTGTATTATTTAAGTTACTGAAAAATATTTCCCTGTTGCATGCCATTTGGACAGCCTCTGTGTTTACATAGGGCTTTCTACTGGAAAGGCAACTTAGGCATCTAAGTGCTTTAAGGCCCAGAGAACACAGCAGGCCTTCACAACTATTAAAAGGCAAGGCACACTACCCCAAAGTTATATCTGCCAGCTAAGTCTGCACTTTCATCCAAGGACCAGCTACTCTCTCCTGCACGATAATTATTTAAAGATGTGAGAAAGCCCGGTGGAAATTTCGTACTTCAAAGACACCCACAGAAATCAAATGTAGAAAAAAGGCTTAAGAGGTAAATTGCTGTTCATTATGCTGCCACAATTACCGTTATAGGTTAATGCCCATCTTGGAGTTTCATTTATAAACGCTGATGCTAAAGTACCATAGATTAGGGATCAGCACACAGTAAAATCTCCCTGCCTCGCTAGTCTTCACTCAGCGCCCGAAGGGAACGATTGTCGGCAATGCCAAATAAAGTTATCGGGTTTCTTTTCACATCTCTGTACCTGGCCTACCTTCATCCTCTGTCATTCAGCATTTTATATCCTTATGCCATGTGCCCTGCTTCCGCTAGGCATGTTCTTCTCTGCCCATTCCCCCCACCACTTTCTCCTCTGATGTCTAGGGGTTGCAATACTCGTCACCCAAAAGAGAATCTGACCCCAAATGTATGTGCACGAGTGAATATACGTATACACACACACAGATGGAGACATCCCCCCCCCACACCACCCTCTTGCTGGGGGTCTTGTGTTAACCCTCTCATATCTGTAGCTATTGGTTGAGCACTATATCTCGTCTCCAAAGCAACAAGTGAGCTGTTAGTAGCATCTGGATGAGGCAGCTTGGCCCCCTCCTGCCCCCAGGAACAGGGGCAGGGAGCAGAGTCTGGAGGAGCGCTGGGAAGCCCAGTGACCCTGGCAGCTGCCACCGCAACAGCAATGTGCACAATGAGAGCTGGGCAGGAGCCCACAGCTTGTGTGCTGCCCATGGACAGCCCTGGTGGAGACAAATTGGGGAGTCCAGCAGCATGTAACAAAAATCACCGGAGGCCTCAGAAATAAGGACAAACTTTCTCACTATGAGGGTGGTGAGCCACTGCCACAGGCTACTCCAGGAGGCTGTGAAATTTCCATCCTTAGGAGTTTAAGAGAAGTTTAGACAGGCACTAGGTTGGGATCGTGCAATCAGGGATGATCCTGGCATGGGCAGGCAGTTGGATGTCATAACGCCCTAAGGTCCCTTATTTTTCTATGACTGTATGGTGGACGGCCTGGTTGCACCACAAGATGACAATCAGAATCCACCATTTCTCAAAGACCACCATGATTTCTTACCCAGCACATAAATGAATAGACATGTGGGGCCCAGGGCAATTCACAGATGAGATGTAGACCATTTAGGATGCTCTCGTAGGACACCAGTAATCTGAGGACCATGATTCAGGA